GTATAAATGAGTTGGGTCGGGTTGGTTGAGGAAGTCTTGATCGAAGCCAATTCGACGCTTTTCCTACTCAATCGATATGTCTTTGCTCGTGATCGCTTAGAGCTCCTCTTCCATCAGTAGAAACTTCTAACGCGTCAGCCACTTGCTAGAACTAACCGATTGTTCTGAATAAAATAATAACAAGACATGAATACACTTAAAGCCGTGATATAGTCGTTTGCACAAGAGGGTTGATGAAATTGTACGGTGAGGGAGAAATCCATATTATTTTCCATGATTTTAGTGATAGAAAGAGACCGTTAAGGATTAGATTTGGGTTGACTTTGACCATATAAACCGGACAAGACAGAGAAGCAGAGGTTGTGGGTTTTTTTTTTTTGGCAAAACCCTAACTTTTTTTAAGGTTGACATTCCCATATATTGGGAACCATACATTTTTGGCAAAAAAAATAAAAAAAATAAAAAAAATCATCATCATCAAACACAACCAGATTCAACCACAAAGAATTAATCATAACTAATTAACCATAATCAGTTGGATTAGTTAAATTAATCTCAACAAGAGAAAATGTTCAAAATTCTAATAATTAACACCTCCAAAAGGGCTATGCTTATATGCAAATTTACGATTTTACCCTTTGCACTAATGACAGCAAAATTTGTTGAATTAGGAATTAGAAATGCTAAAACTTGAATTCTTTAGAACTAGAAGTATCGTAGCTAATAAAAATTTAATTAACGAGAGATAATCAAGAGCATGCATTCGTTAATATGAACATAGCTTTATTAGCTACGATATTACAACTATCAGCTATTAGTTACCAATTCAAACGTTAAGTGGATGGAACATGCATTTCCTTCTCTAAAATTGGAATTTCGATCTCAAATAAAAACGGTAATAACCCAAGTTCATCGCCAACAGATATTGTTCGATTTGGTTCGTAGGTTTTCACACCCTTATAAGAAATGTTTCGTTTCCCTCTCCAATGGGATATCACAAAAACCTATCGTCTTGCACGGGTTGGTACTTAGGGGTATTGTTGACCAAAATAATATATATAATAAATAAATAAATTTAGAAGGGTAAAATGGTAATTGTGGATATGGTTATGGTTTTTGTTGTACGCCAAAATTCAGCGTGCATTAAAAAGGAGAAGAGGGAGCGAAGGGAAAATTGAGAAAGAAGAGGAAGTTTCTCCGTGAGAATTCGGAATTGGGATTTGTGTGCCGTTGATTCTCTGATTTCCTTCGTCGGAATCAGAGAGTCCTTTGAATCCTCCGTTTCTCAGCATCAAATTTCTCCTCATCTTCCTTCACAATCATACTACACGAAAATCTTCGTTTCAGGCCGTTTTGGGCGAATATTTTCGCATCAAAATCGACTCCCATTCGCCGTTCTAATCGCAATGCTCTAACGATCATTCGTCCCTGTTTCTGCAGCGAGTAGGTGCACTTGTTCCTTCGTCTCTAATGGGAGCCCTAAAAAACGACGGCAAAATGGAAGGTTGGCTCTATCTCATCCGGTCTAACCGGTTTGGGTTGCAATACTCGAAGAAGAGGTACTTCGTTCTCCAAGATGATTGCCTCAAGAGCTTTAAATCTGTCCCTGTTTCTGAGAATGAGGTAGTTAGTACTCGTTTATTTCAATTTCGGTTCTGTAATTTCTGGTCTGATTTGTTTTGGAAGAATTGTTCTTTGATCATCCTGTTTCTTTTTTCTTCTCTTTTCCATTTATTAAGCATATTTGACTCTGGTTGATATGATACTTTGTTGTTCTTCCGTATGGATGGAAATTGGGAAAAGATGAGAGATGCTCGGGTCCACATTGTTCATGTTACAGCTTTTGTCTTGTCTGTACAGATTATTGCACCTCTCAGGATTATGGATATGGACATTAAGAATAGTTGTACGTCGATATGAATTATTGCTTTAACTGAAGATATTGTCATTATGAATTGGCAATGAGCACTGCCTTCGAGGAGAACTTTGTGGAACTTGTAGGAATTGGGTTTTGATTTGTTCAGGCCTTGGTTTCTCATGATCTTCTAAAACAATGTGCCAACAATTTTCTATTCAATCTTTTCATCCTGCTGTTCTCTGTTTCTCTTTCTTTTTTTGGTTTTTAGAAAGTGTATATTAAGAAGTGGTTTCTACACTCTCATAAAGAATGATTTGTTTTCCTCTCCAACCGATGTGGGATCTCACAATCCACTCTCATTCGAGGTCTAACGTCCTTGCTGACACTCATTCCTTTCTCCAATCGATGTGGGACCTCCCAATTCACCCATTCGAGGCCAACGTCCTTACTGGAACACCGTCTCGTGTCCACCCCTTTGGGGCGCAGCCTGCTCGTTGGCACATCGCCCGGTATCCATCTCTGATATCATTTATAACAGCCCAAGCCCACCACTAATTGATGTTGTTTTCGTTGGACTTGGGTTTTCTCTCAAGGTTTTTAAAACGCGTCTGCTACGGAGATGTTTCCACACCCTTATAACGAATGTTTCGTTCTTCTTTCCAACTGATGTGGGATCTTATGCATTTTGTAGTTTCTGTCATGAACCTAGATTGATTAAAACAAAATGGTTCTGATTGATCATATGTTTTTCACCAGGAACCAAACAGAAGTGCCGTGATTGACTCCTACATTCGAGTTTCAGATAATGGGAGGGAGAGTATTCATAGAAAAGTACGTGGTGGTAGAGACTAGTATCTCTGAATTGGTTATTTCTTGAGTAAACTTGTATTCATAATTTCCTATGAAATCTGCAGGTGTTCTTCATCTTCACACTTTATAATACCGTCGATCAAAATGATCAACTCAAGGTGAAGTTAATTCTAGGCCATACAACATGTTTTGGAATGTATTAAATTGTAACTTCCTTAAATGTACCTTTATAGTTGGGCGCCAGCAGCCCAGAAGATGCAGCAAAATGGATCCACTCTCTGCTTGATGCTACATTGAAGGTATAAGAAATTGTACTCATAAACAAAGTGTTTTTCCCATGGTCGAGGCTTATTTTTCACTGTGCATCTAGGGCTGTTCGGATCCAGCGAGGAACTTTAAGGATCGATCCAAGAGACAGTATCCAGCTTTAAGGTATATATTAGTTTCATTCTCTGGTGGTTAGATGGATGGTGTGTGTGTGTGTCTGTGTTATGATATCATGCATGTATTGAATTTTTGGATAGATTTCGAGGTTCAAAAAGAATGGACTGTAAGCCTTCAATAGACTGGACTCTCTATTCCTCTGTACAAATGGAAGCAATGACATCTGATGTTATTGCACCTTCCCCATTGAAAATTTTTGGTTGTCAGAATGGTGAGACCTGAATTCCTCATTTGCATTCATTCAATTAGCCAAAAGTGGATATATGTTGAGTTTGATTATCTGCAGGCTTACGGCTTTTCAAAGAATCAAAAGATATTGATTCTCATCGTAGGGTAAGCTTCCCTTTTTAACTCCTCACCTGTGTTCTGTTATATGCTTTCAATTTTCATTTGATCCTTTTGTTCTTTGTCAGCAATGGGATGATCATCCCGCTATTATGGCTGTTGGTATGGTTTGTGGAACTTCCGAAGAAATTTTTCGGACCATTATGTCTATTGGCCCATCAAGATCTGAGTAAGATTCTTGTATATATAACGGACTAAAATGATCACTTATGGCTCTTGGTCTACTAACCGATATTGTCTACTATGGGCTTTCCTGAGAGAACTAACTTCTCACGGTCTCGCAGATGGGACTTCTGCTTCTATCGTGGAAGTTTAGTTGAACACCTTGATGGTCATACAGATATCATACATATGCAACTATATCGTGATTGGCTACCTTGGTCAGAACTTCCAATCTTGTAGTATTCTAGTAAACAAAAAAATACACACATATGTAATGCTGAACGTGACAATCTTTCAGGGGGATGGAAAAGAGAGATTTTCTTTTGCGTCGATATTGGAGACGAGAAGATGATGGCACATATGGTAATAATTTTCAGGAGAAATTGAATGCTTGGGGAATTTGAAATCTATAGTATCTACCCCTAACTTCTCTCCCCTGTTTCTGTCTGTCACAGTGGTTCTATATCATTCTGTGTTTCACATGAAGTTTCCACCACAGAAAGGCTACGTCCGTGCTTCCCTTAAAAGTAATGTATGCAATACTAATTAACTGTGTAGATAATGTAAAGAACAGCATAGCTAACACCCATTCTCAACCCATTTTCCTCAATCACCTTGGTTCTTCCCCATCTTTCAGGAATTATAAATAAATAGCTTTTCTGTACTGAAATTTTTACCTTCTGGAGTATTGAGTGGGTTGTAATTTGTTCTAATAACAAGTATCTTATATGGATGCACATTCAGGTGGAGGGTACGTTATAACTCCAGTAAACCAAGGCAAACACTCGCTAGTAAAACACATGCTTTCAGTTGATTGGAAGTTCTGGAAACTATATCTGCGTCCTCCATCTGGAAGAGATATTACTATCCGGATGCTAGAGAGGCTTGCAGGTATTAATATACTTCTTAGAGCATCCTCATGATGTTTTTCGGCTTTTGTTTTAGAATTTAGATATCCATTGGAGGTTTTCTCAAACTATAATGCATAATGCAGCACTAAGGGAACTATACAGAGCTAAGATTGGTGATTCTTCATCTGAGTTCTCATCATCTGGTAGAGACCTTAGAAGTTTTGAGTTGCCTCAGAGTGAAATGGATGAGATAAAGACAGAAATACAATCTCCTGAAGAAATGGGGAAAATCAAAGAGGCATTTTCAAAGGAGAATGAAGTGGAAATGCCTCGTGCTAGTTTGATTGGATTAAATGATGCTGTTGATGAATTCTACGATGTTCCTGAACCTGCAGAACTTCACCATTATGAGAATGAATGGACGTCTGACTTGACTATGCAACAGATGGTACTTTCTTATTGCTAAATTTAAAGTTTCTTACATAGTTGTACGAACTTTATTCTTTTTTGAAATCTGCAGAATATGTCCCAGACCAAACTATCATCAGCAGCTGTTTTTGTGAAGAAGTTGCACGATCTTGCAGGTACTTGTTTTCGTGAAAAAGTTGCACGATCAGCAGCTGATTAAAATTATTTCAAATGTGCAATTACAAGCTTTATTTAGATTTCATTCTAAAGAATCAAAGAATTTGTGTGTTTCAGTTCAGAAGAAGGGTTATACAGAATTACCTGAGTTGCCTAGAGAAGAAAGTATGCCATACTCCTATGGATCCACGCTTCCAAAAGACCCCAACTTTTCTCCCTGCAGTGTGGCATCGGCAGATCCCTCTTTGTTTCTGATACGTGGCAAAAACTATTTGAAGGACCACCAGAAGGTATGCTTTAATGTATATGGCTGTGTTTCATGATGAAGTCCAAGCCTATAATCAAACCAGGCAGAGGAACTTCAAATATTAGGGTTTTAAAGATATTTGTTAAGAAAATTTTGGACCAAGCACAGCATGGTGTACACAGACTGTGTACAGTCAGTAATATTCTCTGCATTTAAGGTTGACAGCGTCGTAGAGCTATATGTTAGTTGGTAAGCTGTTATTTCTCAGCTGATTTCTTTAGCTCTGCTTCAAAAGTTAGTTAGCAGTCTTTTTCATTGATCAGATAAGAGTAGATTCTATTCACAATCCAGGCTCTGATCAATTTTAAATTTTAGAACAAAATTGACTTAGCTCATTTCTTCTATTGGTGTCCCAAGTCCACCGCTACAGATATTGTCCTTTTTGGGGTTTTCCTTTCAGATTTCCCCTCAAGGTTTTTTAAAACGCATCTGCTAGGGAGATGTTTTTACACTCTTATAAAGAATTCTCCGTTGTGGGATCTCACAACTATGTTCCCATCGAACGGCAAAAATGGGATATAATTTCGTAATTGATAAAATTAAACGTTGGAATTGGACAGATGTTATTTACCACATTTCTCTATATCAGATCAAGGCAAATGGCACGTTGATGCAACTGGTTGGTGCAGACTGGCTAAGGTCAGACAGGCGAGAAGATAATCTTGGTGGGCGTCCGGGTGGTATCATTCAGGTTTGGCTTGGTTTTTCTAATCACAAGTTTGTCAAAAACCTTCCTAATTGAGTAGGAAAATGACTGATGTTGGTTATATACATGCAGAAATATGCAGAACGAGGTGGACCAGAATTCTTCTTCGTTGTTAACATACAAGTAAGGCGATTTAAGGTTTCTTTCCGGCCACCATAGTTGAGTAAGATCAAAGCTTACCCTTTGCTGCCGTGAAACGTGATTTAGGTTCCTGGCACAACCACGTACACCTTGGCAATGTATTACATGATGAGGACTCCTCTCGAGAGCAGTCCCTTGCTCAAAAGCTTTGTCGAAGGAGATGATGCCTTTAGGAATTCAAGATTTAAGCTCATACCTTACATTTCTCAGGTCAGTAACAGAGCCTACACCTATGAAGAATCAAGAAGTCCGTTGTCTGACATTCTCCATTGGATATTATATTGTCAGGGATCATGGATAGTCAAGCAAAGTGTTGGGAAGAAAGCTTGCTTGATTGGTCATGCACTTGAAGTACATTACTTTAGTGGGAAGAACTATTTGGAGGTGAACTAACTATAATAATCTCTCTATCTCACCCTCTTATCATATTATAACTCCTTTTTTGTGTGTGAAATCAGCTCGAAATTGATGTTGGATCCTCAACAGTCGCAAGGGGGGTGGTCAATCTTGTTCTTGGTTATTTGAACAATTTGGTCATAGAAATGGCTTTTGTAATTCAGGTATAATACACCTATGTCTATAACAAGGTCTTGAAATGGCTTTATTTGCCTCACCTAACAAATGTCAATGGATTACATTACATTTTTCTTTGATTATGGCAGGGCAACACGCAAGAGGAGCTCCCCGAGATCCTTCTCGGGACGTGTCGACTCAATCATTTGGACGTGACTAAATCACTACTGATAAAGCCATGAAAATACCTGCCCTGAAATTCTCAACCCTCTAAGAACAACAAGTATGGGACCCTCTGAACACAGATTTACATCAATTCTTTTCCTGATTAATAATGTATAGAAGCTCTGATTTATTTATTTTTATCCAATCTGAATTCTCAGCTCAATTGTATGGGGCTTTTGTACCATCAAGGCTATTTTAGTCAACAGCCAAATTATTATAATTTTAAAAAAAAAATTGTTTATTCATAGGAAATTCTTATGCAACTTTTTGTGTTAATTCTCTCTCTTGTCATCATTTAAAGGGCAAATTTGTCATTTCATTTTTGTTTCAATTATCGCATTTGGATCCATGTTCGTGGCCACGTGCTCGAAGCAATCCAAAAATTCAATTATATTTTAGTTAAATTAAAAAAATAAAAAAAGCAATAGGGGTAGTATTGGTATTTCAGTTGAGGTAGTTCATGTGGATGATGAAAGGAACCAAAATTGCGTTTAGTTTTTAGAAATTATAATCATTCAAAACACAGGCGGAGAGAAACGCCGTACCTGCAAAATCCGCGGCGGAACAGACGGGAGGAACACGAAGCTACGGCGGCAGTGGAGAAATCCATAGCGAAGATGCCGACTCCATAACTACAATCGTATTCAGATTAACCATAAAATCCAGAACAAACCTCGACGGAGATTGAATTCAACACACAAACCTAACACCAAAAATTGTGAACGACGACAGGCCATCAGAGCCAAGAAGTAAGCGAAAGGCTGGACACGAACGGACGGTGGTTAGCCAACGGAGCAAGAAGAAATCCAGCGGCCGCACATAAACGGCAGCGTCGGCAGTGTGATACGGCTGTGCAGCGCGAGAGCGCCGCGGCCGGCGAACATTTTTAAAACTTGATTTAAATCAGAGGATTTGAACTGAAGAGTTTTAAATCGATGTTTGATAAGTAAAAACCAGAGAAGTAGAAGAAAAATAATAATTATTATTTATTCATAGGTTTACTTTTGGGTACACATTGCAAATGCTTGCCTTTACTTTACAATTTTATTATTGTTATTATTTAATTTCAACTAAATCATATCAATTGTGTATTTGGTACCAAATATTATAACTTAGCCAAATTTACTAAAATAAGCTTAAAAGTTTTGTAACATATAATATTATCCACATTGCTAAAGTGGATTTGACACCATCATCCTGGATAACATTGGTATCTTTTGTATTACAAGCCGTTGGTACCGGGTTAGCCAATTCTTATTCACTAGATATTGGTATAGCTACAAGTTGCTGTTACAGGGTTAGTCAATTCTTATTCACCAGATACTTGCATTGCTACAAGCTGCTGGCACAGAGTTTGCCGATGCTTATTCACCAGATGCCTATTCCCCAGATACTGGCACAGAGTTAGCCGATGCTTATTCCCCAGATACTGGCACAGAGTTAGCCGATGCCTATTCCCCAGATACTGGCACAGAGTTAGCTGATGCCTATTCCCCAGATACTGACACTGAGTTAACCGATGCTTATTCCCAAATACTGGCACAGAGTTAGCCGATGCTTATTCCCCAGATACTATTATTGCTACAAGCTGCTGGCACAGAGTTAGTCGATGCTTATTCCCTAGATACTGTCATTGCTACAAGCTGCTGACATAGAGTTAGTCGATGCTTATTCCCCAGATGTCATTGCTACAAGCTCGATGCTTATACCCCAGATGTCATTGCTACAAGCTACTGGCACAGAGTTAGCCGATGCTTATTCCTCAAATATTGTCATTGCTACAAGCTGCTGGCACAGAGTTAGCCGATGCTTATTCCCCAAATACTGTCATTGCTACAAGCTGCTGGTACAGAGTTAGCCGATGCTTATTCCCTAAATACTGTCATTGCTACAAGCTGCTGGCACAGAGTTAGCCGATGCTTATTCTCCAGATACTGTCATTGCTACAAGCAGTTAGTCGATGTTTATTCCCCAGATACCATTATTACTTCTTCTCCAAGAAAAGAAGTTCACGACCCATAGGCCTTCTACCTCCACGCAACATTGCTTCGTCACGTTTTCGCCCATTGCAAAAAATTCTCCCCTCTCGTAGGAGTCTATATTGTGTCTCAGTCTCAGTGCGGCTCTCAATGTGGCTCTCGAGTAGGGTTGTGTTGGAATAGCATTTCAGGTAGGGTTAGGTTCAGAACCCAGACTGAATTGGTTCGATTTCGTGTTCATGAGCAAAACTTTCAAATTTACCCGAGCCAAATAAAAATATATAAAATGTATTAAAAATCCAATTGTATTAATGGGTTTACAGGAGGCAAATACATAGTTCTATATTGTATCCTAGTAATTATAAATGGTGGATAAATCAAACTTAAAAAACCTGTACTACCCAATCCCTAATCCAAACCCAACTCGAAAATAAAGGGTTGGTCCCAAAATTTCCAACCATTAACATGTACACCTCTAATGGTTGATTATCTTCTCTGACCAGCTACTGATCCATCGCCTCTAAGTATAAAATTCTTTAACGAGGGCATGTGCTTGGCATATAATCATTCCATCACTAAATCCCACATCGATTTTGTGAAACAACATCTTGAGCATGCTTTAAACTTTGGTGAGAAATTTTAAGATACTTAGTTCTGTCGGTCGAGGATAATGATTGAAAAAATCTCTAGCCAATTTAAGATAGAGAGATTAGGAGGCTACAAGACAATTGCTATAGAGACCGGTGATCCCAATTCATTTGTCATCGTTGAACAATGATTTTTTCGAGAGTTAGAACAATGAAAATAGATGGCGAGTGCCTAATCGAATTGATCAGGTTGTAGGAACAAGGTTCAAGTCTACTGGTCTATGGGGATATCTCAGCTACATACATAATTGCACTTCTTGACACCTGTCGTGATGATAAACAACTCATCTCTTCTGTTGCTTCATCCCGCAGGGCAGACCATCACCTATCGTGATGATAAACAACTCATCTCTTCTGTCTCTTCATCCCGCAGGGCAGACCATCACCTATCGTGATGATAAACAACTCATCTCTTCTGTCTCTTCATCCCGCAGGGCAGACCATCACCTATCGTGATGATAAACAACTCATCTCTTCTGTTGCTTCATCCCGCAGGGCAGACCATCACCTATCGTGATGATAAACAACTCATCTCTTCTGTCTCTTCATCCCGCAGGGCAGACCATCACCTATCGTGATGATAAACAACTCATCTCTTCTGTCTCTTCATCCCGCAGGGCAGACCATCACCTATCGTGATGATAAACAATTCATCTCTTCTGTCTCTTCATCCCGCAGGGCAGACCATCACCTATCGTGATGATAAACAACTCATCTCTTCTGTCTCTTCATCCCGCAGGGCAGACCATCACCTATCGTGATGATAAACAACTCATCTCTTCTGTCGCTTCATCCCATAGGGCAGATCATCACTCTGTGATACCAAGAATGAAAAGTAAGAGAGAGATTGAAAGTTTTTTTATTAACATTTAAATAGGATACCAACTACAAAAAATAGAAAAAAAATATATTAACCGATTAACAAATATCTAAAATACATTTATTATTTATTTTCAAACAGGTAAAACATATTTAATTTCAATTTTGTGTCGAATAAATCTCTGAACCGTCCGATTTGTTTTTACTTTTAATAGGACTTTTTAGATATTTTTTTTTCTATAATTCAAATTTCTTCCATTAATAATGAGACACAAACTAATTTTAAATGAAATCAAGTAAAATAGTTGACTTAAAATTATAATTAATTATAGTTCCGATTTAAAATATATAAATTATTTTTTTAAAAAAATTAAATTAGAATCGAAAAACGTAATAATAAAAAAAAAATATATATATATATATAGCCATTTGATTCCCACTCTGTCTTCATCCTAGAATCAAATCCCGCAGTTTCTCTCTCTAAGCTTTAATGGCGTTTAGGGCATAGCTGTTCTTCATCTGGAACTATTTTCCTCTGGTAACTCTATGATTCTGCTTCTCTTTCATATGAATTTCAAATTCAAATTCCAAAAAGATAATTAAATGTTTTATTTCTTTCTCTTTTCATTTATTCCTCCGTTTTTGTTCGCTGCTTCTTCAAATTCCTCACTCCATAATCTCGCTGCTTATTTAAAAAACGCATCTCAGATTTGTAGGATCCAACACAGATTCAGAGTTACTTCTACTATAAGTTCTCGTCTGCGTACCCTGAATTATTTAGTGAAAAATTGAAGACCGATTATGGAAGGAAGTTTAGGCGACGAAATTGACTGTGGAAATTGCTTTGATCATATCGACGACCTTCTAGACTTTTCTATCGTTGACGATGTTCTATTGACCACTACCGCCGCCGCCGCATTCCCTCCCCTTTGGTCCACCTCTGCAGCAGATACTGATATCTGCCTCCCTAAGCTAGTGAGTTAAATTCTTGGGTTTAACCAATGAATTTTAAGTTTTGATTTTTAACTTTTTAAATACGTTGTTTACTTGATTTAAATTAAAATTATTATCATTATTAATTAAATTTTAAATTTAAACTTAAACCCGAATTTAATAGCTTATTTTCTTTATAAAAAAAAATAAAAATTATGGATTTTGATGGTCTACCTTGTTGAGCTTCTTTGTTGACTTGGGCTGTGCTTCCTTGTGAGCTCTTTTGTTGACTTGGGTTTCTCTGTTTCAGTACGAAGATATTATTCCATCGGAATGGTTCTCAAATTTAGACGATTCCTTCGCCGGCGCCGGAACCCAAACTGTCAGCAGCTCGTCGTCGGAGTCGAACAAATTTCGCGTCTCAAGTCCTGTTTCCGTTCTCGACAATAGTAGCGAAAGTAGCAGCAGCAAAAGAAAAGAGCGAGCCCACGACGCCTGCAGACGAGACGATGCTAGCAGCAAGCGACCACGGCAGTCATTTTTCATTCCCCCACCACCACATCTCGTATCACCTACTAGTTCATCGGATTCGGAGAACTCGGAGAACTATAGCGAGTCCTGTTCCCCTCCGCCAGCCGAGAAGAAAATCAAATTGTCATCAAATGATGCATTTAATCCACGAGGCGACTCCAGGAAATGCTTACACTGTGAAGTGACGAAAACGCCGCAATGGCGAGCGGGGCCATTGGGGCCTAAAACCCTCTGTAATGCTTGCGGCGTTCGGTACAAATCCGGCCGCCTCTACCCCGAGTACCGGCCGGCGGCGAGCCCGACTTTTGTCTCCCGTTTGCACTCTAATTCGCACAAGAAGGTTATCAAAATGAGAATTAAATAAGTGGAAAAGCTTATTCCAGATTTGTTAATTTTGATTAACAAAGTAGAATAGAATTTGTTATTTGTTAACTTTGATTAACAAAGTAGAATAGAATTTGTTATTTGTTAATTTTGATTAACAAAGTAGAATAGAATTTGTTATTTGTTAATTTTGATTAACAAAGTAGAATAGAATTTGTTATTTGTTAATTTTGATTAACAAAGTAGAATAGAATTTGTTATTTGTTAATTTTGATTGACAAATAGAATAGAATTTGTATTTTTAATTAACCAATAGAATAGAATTTGTATTTTTAATTAACCAATAGAATAGAATTTCTATTTTATTTGTCTTATACAAATAGAATAGAATTTTGTTTTACATCAAATAATTTGTTTTTTTTTTTATTATAATCTTTTTTTCGACCCATTTATTATCACTCAATTGAATGAGGTAGGGTAAAAAAAGAAAACATAGGACTAAAATAATTTTGAGTGATAGTAAATTTCTGTTAAATTGACTATTTAATCGATGACGTGGGCTATAAGGAGTGTGCTTACACGTGTGACTTGGTGTTATAATAGCATAAAAAGCGCATGTGGCTTACACGTGTGATTTGGTGTTATAATAGCATAAAAAGCGTGTGCGCCTACACGTGGGCTATAAGGAGTGTGCTTACATAACTTGGTGTTATAATAGCATAAAAGCGCATGTGACTTACACGTGTGACTTGCTGTTATAATAGCATAAAAAGCCCGTGTGGCTTACACGTGTGACTTAGGTGTTATAATAGCATAAAAAGCGCGTGTGGCTTACACGTATGACTTAGTGTTATAATAGCATAAAAAGCCTGTGGCTTACACGTGTGACTTGGTGTTATAATAGCATAAAAAGCGCGTGCGCCTACACGTGGGCTATAAGGAGTGTGCTTACACGTGTGACTTGGTGTTATAATAGCATAAAAAGCGTGTGCACCTACACGTGGGCTATAAGGAGTGTGCTTACACGACTTAGTGTTATAATAGCATAAAAAACGCATGTGACTTACACGTGTGACTTGGTGTTATAATAGCATAAAAAGCGCGTGTGGCTTACACATGTGACTTGGTGTTATAATAGCATAAAAAGCGCGTGTGGCTTACACATGTGACTTGGTGTTATAATAGCATAAAAAGCGCGTGTGGCTTACACATGTGACTTGGTGTTATAATAGCATAAAAAGCGCGTGTGGCTTACACATGTGACTTGGTGTTATAATAGCATAAAAAGCGTGTGTGACTTACACATGTGACTTGGTGTTATAATAGCATAAAAAGCGCTTGTGGCTTACCCATGTGACTTGGTGTTATAATAGCATAAAAAGCACGTGTGGCTTACACATGTGACTTGGTGTTATAATAGCATAAAAAGCACGTGTGGCTTACACATGTGACTTGGTGTTATAATAGCATAAAAAGCGCGTGTGGCTTACACATGTGACTTGGTGTTATAATAGCATAAAAAGCGCGTGTGGCTTACACATGTGACTTGGTGTTATAATAGCATAAAAAGCGCGTGTGGCTTACACATGTGACTTGGTGTTATAATAGCATAAAAAGCACGTGTGGCTTACTGTGAATGTTTGATTAATCCACCACACCTAAATGGTGTGAAAGTTATCTTATTTATAATCAAATAAATTACAGGATATGAAAATAGTAATAAATGGAAATAACAATAAATAGAAAGATACCTATGATAATAAGGCAAATATCTAATATTTGCCTTATAATAAAATATCAAATATAATATATATGGTAAACAATAATTTATTACTAAATATCCTTAACACTTACACATGTGACTTGGTGTTATAATAGCATAAAAAGCACGTGTGGCTTACACATGTGACTTGGTGTTATAATAGCATAAAAAGCGCGTGTGGCTTACACATGTGACTTGGTGTTATAATAGCATAAAAAGCACGTGTGGCTTACACATGTGACTTGGTGTTATAATAGCATAAAAAGCGCGTGTGGCTTACACATGTGACTTGGTGTTATAATAGCATAAAAAGCGTGTGTGACTACACATGTGACTTGGTGTTATAATAGCATAAAAAGCGCTTGTGGCTTATCCATGTGACTTGGTGTTATAATAACATAAAAAGCACGTGTGGCTTACACATGTGACTTGGTGTTATAATAGCATAAAAAGCACGTGTGGCTTACACGTGTGACTTGGTGTTAAAAAGCGCGTGTGGCTTACACGTATGACTTGGTGTTATAATAGCATAAAAAGCACGTTATAATAGCATAAAAAGCGCATTTACACCTGAGTCATCTATTGCTTCTAGTTTATTTTAATCTTTTAGTATACCGGTAAATAACTCATTTTTAATAATTTTACTATTTAATTTTATATTCATTAAATATTATTATTATTTAATTTTATTAAACTAAATTAAAATAACTTTAAAAATTCTAATTTTATATTTTTTTATTTTTTATAATTAACTTTATTAATTATTTTCCATCAATAATTTTAACAAAATTATATAAAATTTAATTTACAATTTAAAAAATCATGAATTATGCTAATACTTGTAAATCTTATATAATACTACTAATTTATTAATAAAACTATAATATACTTTAAATTTTAATTTAATATATTATTATTATTATTATTATTCTAAAATAAATATTAATAATTAATCTAAAATAAATAATTTTAATGAAATTAATTAATAAAAAAATTTGAATAATTAATTATATAGTTATTTGGGATGACCTAATGATGTTTAAGGTGACAGTGAGGCTGAAGAGTTACATGAAAGGCGCTGACGTTTAACAATCTAAAACACACGAGAGCCATCAACATAGAACTGTGACGGTGAAGGTGAGGAATCACATACTTGTACATTTATTTATTTATTTTAATTAAATTGTTCTATTTTCATTTTTTAATTATTATTGTTTTAAATTAATAACAGCATCAAAATTAATTAATTTTTTTCTATATTTTGTTGGTTTAATTATTAGAGTTATCATCATTACATTTTTTTCTGAAATGTCTTAATTACCTTTCTAAATTTTAAATGGATTAATAATTTTTACAATTTAATTTTGTGTTGATTAAGTATTTAATTGAGTAAAAAAAAAATTAGATAAGAGATTATAAATATTATAAACATTAACTATATTTTTGTGAATTAAAAAAAATATACACATTAAATTATAAAGTTTTTATTACTTATATATACATTAAATTTTTTTCTTGAAAATATTTAATATATATTTTGTATCCTGTAAGAATAAAATTAAATTTAACTCTAGGGTTGAATATCATGGTAAACCATCGTTATTGGCATATTTATTATATTTTATACAATTTTACTCGTTTAAAAAGTTATTGGCATATTTATTATATTTTATACAATTTTACTCGTTTAAAAATAAATAAATAAATAAATAAGAGGAAGAATTTGGAGAATTATATGTGAGTACGGGAATATAATCTATATTCCAGCCCGGCTTAAATTTTTTTTCTCTACTCGCTATCGATTACATTACCTTGAGTCTCATTCATTTAGTCAACACGAATTAACAAATATCTCTCAAAAAAATAAAATAATAAAATAATAAATAATAAATAATAAAGAAATAAATAAATAAGAAGAGTAAATATTAATAGAAATAATAGATAAAAGGTTTCCATTTTCTATTTTATAATAGTTTTGGTGAATTGAGGCCAAAACTAATTACTATTCAAATTTTCAATGAAGAAATATAAGATATCGATATATATTAATAAATACGGATACTTTAATATTATCTTTTAATAAAATGATATTAACATTAATTTAAAAAATTTACCAAAATAATAAACTACATCTAATATCGTTTCAATGGTTGGGTTTAACCAGAATTTTTAGTTTTGGTTTAATTTTTTAAAATTTTAAAAATATGTTTGCATGATTTAAATTCAAATTATTATCCTTATTAATTAAATTTTAAATTTTAAATTTAATAGCTTATTTTTATTCTAATTTTTTTTAAAAAAAAATTATGGGTTTTGATAGTCATTGATAGATTTATTTGTTATTTATTCTCAATTTTTTTTTTAATAATTTTTTTTTTATTAATATACTTCATATTTATCTAACTAAAATAATATTGGATAGATTTTAAATTTCAATTAAAAAAATAGTCACCTGGAGCTTATTAAAACTCAAACCAATAAATTACATGTATGTTTCCTTTAATTTAAACACACAATTTTGAGTAAATGAAAGAGACGATTTGCATCATCCGATTCAACTTGCTAGCCTAATACGTCTCGAGTTTTCTATTTTCCAACGTTGAAGTCAACTCAAGGACAAGAGGGGAGAGCAATTTAGACAATCAAATTGCCACTTCCTCACCGAGAACGAGAACCTGTTTTCCCCTTTTTCGAGAGCCATATGATTTACTATTGCATTTTTTCCATAATGTGTAGTATAACAGTAATAAGTACTATGTATTCAATTGTAAGCTAGACCGACAACCATTAAGCTTAAGACATATCATTACTGATAAAGATCAATCGAGATGAATATAAGGACAGGACAGGACAAAACGTAGGATCCAACACAGATTCAGAGTTCCTTCTACTATAAGTTCTCGTCTGCGTACTCTGAATTATTTAGTGAAAAATTGAAGACCGATTATGGAAGGAAGTTTAGGCGACGAAATTGACTGTGGAAATTGCTTTGATCATATCGACGACCTTCTAGACTTTTCTACTGAAGACGTTGACGATGTTCTATTGACCACTACCGCCGCCGCCGCATTCCCTCCCATTTGGTCCACCTCCGCAGCAGATACTGATATCTCCTCCCTAAGCTAGTGAGTTAAATTCTTGGGTTTAACCAATGAATTTTAAGTTTTGATTTGATTTTTTTAACTTTTTAAATACGTTGTTTACTTGATTTAAATTAAAATTATTATCATTATTAATTAAATTTTAAATTTAAACTTAAACCCGAATTTAATAGCTTATTTTCTTTATAAAAAAAAATAAAAATTATGGATTTTGATGGTCTACTCCTTTGTTGACTTGGGTTTCTCTGTTTCAGTACGAAGATATTATTCCATCGGAATGGTTCTCAAATTTAGACGATTCCTTCGCCGGCGCCGGAACCCAAACTGTCAGCAGCTCGTTGTCGGAGTCGAACAAATTTCGCGTCTCAAGTCCTGTTTCCGTTCTCGACAATAGTAGCGAAAGTAGCAGCAGCAAAACAAAAGAGCGAGCCCACGACACCTGCAGACGAGACGATGCTAGCAGCAAGCGACCACGGCAGTCATTTTTCATTCCCCCACCACCACATCTCGTATCACCTACTGGTTCATCGGATTCGGAGAACTCGGAGAACTATGGCGAGTCCTGTTCCCCTCCGCCAGCCGAGAAGAAAATCAAATTGTCATCAAATGATGCATTTAATCCACGAGGCGACTCCAGGAAATGCTTACACTGTGAAGTGACGAAAACGCCGCAATGGAGAGCGGGGCCATTGGGGCCTAAAACCCTCTGTAATGCTTGCGGCGTTCGGTACAAATCCGGCCGCCTCTACCCCGAGTACCGGCCGGCGGCGAGCCCGACTTTTGTCTCCCGTTTGCACTCTAATTCGCACAAGAAGGTTATCGAAATGAGAATTAAATAAGTGGAAAAGCTTATTCCAGATTTGTTAATTTTGATTAACAAGTAGAATAGAATTTGTTATTTGTTAATTTTGATTAACAAAGAGAATAGAATTTGTTATTTGTTAATTTTGATTGACAAATAGAATAGAATTTGTATTTTTAATTAACCAATAGAATAGAATTTCTATTCTATTTGTCTTATACAAATAGAATGGAATTTTGTTTTACAATCAAATAATTTGTTTTTTTTTTTTATTATAATCTTTTTTTTCGACCCATTTATTATCACTCAATTGAATGAGGTAGGGTAAAAAAAAAACGTAGGACTAAAATAATTTTGAGTGATAGTACATTTTTGTCAAATGGACTATTTAAGATAAATAGTATATTTTTCTGTTAAATTAACTATCTAATCGATAAAGATGAACAATTTAATATTATTTAAAAAATGTTAAATAGTTATATTTATTATTATTATTTTTTTTTGTTTATGTGCTGAATAATTAGTATGCCGATACAAATTTTCAACAGAAAAAGCAGATTCAAATTTTCAATCAAACAAAAAAAATACAAGGTAATATACTTCATCTAGTTGACTGAAAATTTAAACTACAATTATGAACAACACGACTTGGTGTTATAATAGCATAAAAAGCGCATGTGGCTTACACGTGTGATTTGGTGTTATAATAGCATAAAAAGTGCGTGCGCCTACACGTGGGCTATAAAGAGTGTGCTTACATGACTTGGTGTTATAATAGCATAAAAAGCGCATGTGGCTTACACGTGTGACTTGGTGTTATAATAGCATAAAAAGTCCGTGTGACTTAGGTGTTATAATAGCATAAAAAGCGCGTGTGGCTTACACGTGTGACTTGGTGTTATAATAGCATAAAAAGCCCATGTGGCTTACACGTGTGACTTGGTATTATAATAGCATAAAAAGCGCGTGTGGCTTACACCTATGACTTGGTGTTATAATAGCATAAAAAGCCCATGTGGCTTACACGTGTGACTTGGTGTTATAATAGCATAAAAGCGCGTGCGCCTACACGTGGGCTATAAGGAGTGTGCTTACACGACTTAGTGTTATAATAGCATAAAAAACGCATGTGACTTACACGTGTGACTTGGTGTTATAATAGCATAAAAAACGCATGTGGCTTACACGTGTGACTTGGTGTTATAATAGCATAAAAAGCGCGTGCGCCTACACGTGGGCTATAAGGAGTGTGCTTACACGACTTAGTGTTATAATAGCATAAAAAACGCATGTGACTTACACGTGTGACTTGGTGTTATAATAGCATAAAAAACGCATGTGGCTTACACGTGTGACTTGGTGTTATAATAGCATAAAAAGCGCGTGCGCCTACACGTGGGCTATAAGGAGTGTGCTTACACGACTTAGTGTTATAATAGCATAAAAAACGCATGTGACTTACACGTGTGACTTGGTGTTATAATAGCATAAAAAACGCATGTGGCTTACACGTGTGACTTGGTGTTATAATAGCATAAAAAGCGCGTGCGCCTACACGTGGGCTATAAGGAGTGTGCTTACACGACTTAGTGTTATAATAGCATAAAAAACGCATGTGACTTACACGTGTGACTTGGTGTTATAATAGCATAAAAAACGCATGTGGCTTACACGTGTGACTTTGTGTTAAAAAGCACGTGTGACTTACATGTATGACTTTGGTGTTATAATAGCATAAAAAGCACGTTATAATAGCATAAAAAGCGTGTTTACACCTGGGTCATCTATTGCTTCTAGTTTATTTTAATCCTTTAGTATACCTAGAAATAAAAGCATGAAAATGAGATGTCTAGTAACTCACTTTTAACAATTTTACCATTTAATTTTATATTCATTAAATATTATTATTATTTAATTTTATTAAACTAAATTAAAATAACTTTAAAAATTCTAATTTTATTTTTTTTTATTTTTTATAATTAACTTTATTAATTATTTTCCCATCAATAATTTTAACAAATTTATATAAAATTTAATTTACGATTTAAAAAATCATGAATTATGCTAATACTTGTAAATCTTATATAATACTACTAATTTATTAATAAAACTATAATATACTTTAAATTTTAATTTAATATATTATTATTATTATTATTATTATTATTCTAAAATAAATATTAATAATTAATCTAAAATAAATAATTTTAATGAAATTAATTAATAAAAAAATTTGAATAATTAATTATATAGTTATTTGGGATGACCTAGTGATGTTTAAGGTGACAGTGGGGCTGAAGAGTTACATGACAGGCGCTAACGTTTAACAATCTAAAACACACGAGAGCCATCAACATAGAACTGTGACGGTGAGGGTGAGGAATCACATACTTGTACATTTATTTATTTATTTTAATTAAATTGTTCTATTTTCATTTTTTAATTATTATTGTTTTAAATTAATAACAGCATCAAAATTAATTAATTTTTTTTCTATATTTTGTTGGTTTAATGATTAGAGTTATCATCATTACATTTTTTTTGAAATGTCTTAATTACCTTTCTAAATTTTAAATGGATTAATAATTTTTACAATTTAATTTTGTGTTGATTAAGTATTTAATTGAGTAAAAAAAAAAAAATTAGATAAGAGATTATAAATATTATAAACATTAACTATATTTTTGTGCATTAAAAAAAATATACACATTAAATTATAAAGTTTTTATTACTTATATATACATTAAATTTTTTTCTTGAAAATATTTAATATATATTTTGTATCCTGTAAGAATAAAATTAAATTTAACTCGGGTTGAATATCATGGTAAGAAATACCATCCTTATTTGGCATATTTATTATATTTTATACAATTTTACTCGTTTAAAAATAAATAAATAAATAAATAAGAGGAAGAATTTGGAGAATTATATGTGAGTACGGGAATATAATCTATATTCCAGTTCGGCTTAAATTTTTTTTCTAGCTATCGATTACATTACCTTGAGTCTCATTCATTTAGTCAACATGAATTAACAGATATCTCTCAAAAATTAAAAAAATAATAATAAATAATAAATAAATAGGTCAGATTCAAATTTTCAATGAAGAAATATAAGATATTGTACTAAACTGAGCCGGTCATCCCATCCCACTTATATATATTAACTTATGAAAATGTATATAATCTATATTAATAAAAACGGACATATATTAATAAATACGGATACTTTAATATTATCTTTTAATAAAACGATATTAACATTAATTTAAAAAATTTACCAAAATAATAAATTTGGACTAAAAGTGTAGTGAACTGAAAATTTAAACTACATCTAATATCGTCCAATTTTTGGGTTTAACAAAGTGAATTTTTAGTTTTGGTTTAATTTTTTAAAATTTTAAAAATATGTTTGCATGATTTAAATTCAAATTATTATCATTATTAATTAAATTTAAAATTTAAACTTATAACTGAATAAAAAAATTATGGGTTTTGATGGTGATTGATAGATTTATTTGTTATTTATTCTCAATTTTTTTTAATAATTTATTTTTTATTAATATACTTTAAATATTAGAGTCATATTTATCTAACTAAAATTGGATAGATTTTAATTTTCAAGAGCTTATTAAAACTCAAACCAATAAATATTAAATACATCATGTAATCATGTATGTATCCTTTAGTCTAAACACAATTTTGAGTAAATGAAAGAGACGATTTGCATCATCCGATTCAACTTGCTAGCCTAACACGTCTCGAGTTTTCTATTTTCCAGCGTTTATGTTGAAGTCAACTAAGGCCAAAAGGGGAGAGCAATTTAGACCATTCATTTTCTCGAATTGTCACTCCCTCACCGAGAACGAGAACCTGTTTTTCCCTTTTTCGAGAGCCATATAATTTACTATTGCATTTTTACCATCATGTGTAGTATAACAGTAATAAGTACTATGTATTCAATTGTAAACTAGACAGACAACCATTAAGCTTAAGACATATAATTACCAATAAGATCAATCGAGATAAATATAAGGACAGGACAGAAGGTAGATAGAATACTCACGAACAACCCAGTCAAATTTGTGGGTTTATCGGAGGGTGTGAAAGACAAAAATGCCCTCTCGTAGGGAATGGACCAAATTTTTGTCATACCCAAAAATAGACCAGGCAAATAATAAAAAACGAGGAAGGGTTGGGTTGGAAAACTCATTGTTAACGGACAACCGGATTCAGTTAAGCCTTAACTATGGTTATAGGAATTGCCACACCTAACCTGTACTATGGTTTCTTTTTTACCGCATCCATCTTGATTTCACCAATTCTCCTCAAATAATCCCATGTATTATTGTTGTTAGAGGTAGTTATTATAATTATTTTTATTTCATTTCCAAATATTAATCGAAAAAACATTACTACATCAATACCAACAACGATATGTTTTCACATAAATCTACTTATATGGTTTGTAAGAGTAGGATTGAATCCACGTAAGCTGTCGATCCTAATTAAATATTTTTTAGAAGCAAATTTGACTACGTCTCATCCGCAATATTCAAATCTCGAAACAAGCGTCTGAATATCAGTTTAAAAAGGCAGGATTGCAATCCATCCTTTATTCATTTGTTGCCAAGTTATAAAAGAGTGGTAGTAACTGAAGGAGAAAATTAAAAAATAAAAATAAAAATAAAAGATCTTAAAATTAAATTGTTATTTAATTTAATTTAATTTATTTAAAAAAATTTGAAATAACGAAAGTGAAGGACACCTGAATGAATGGCTGAATTTCTGGTTTGTTTGAGATGTGGTTGTTAGAGATCTCAGAAATAAATAAATAAATAAATAAATAAATAAATAAATAAATATATATATATATATATATATATATATATATATATATATATATATATATTATATATTTTACAAAAAAAAAAAATATATATATTATAAATTATATATTTTTTCAAAAAATATGGGCTCATTCCTTTTCTAACTATAAAGCGTTAGAAAAGGAGAAAAAAATGGTGTTTTTTTTTTATTATTTACCATAATTTTTATAAAAATAATTTATTAAAATAAAGTAATATTTTAAAAAAACCACGATATTTTTGTCGATGGTGAATTGACTATGTATTACTAATATATATAGTTTAGTAGGAAATATTTTTTTAATAAAAAAAAATTGGGTCAGTAAAGAAAGTTAGTGTTTTTTTTAATATTAAGAAAAAAAAAAAAAATCTAAAATGAGAAAAAAGAGAGGATATAAATACATTTTCAGTTTGTCACTGTCAATTAAAGGTCGGCGAAGAGAGAGTTTCAGGCGGGTGTTGGTGAGGGTGGAGGCACTTCATTTCTAGCTTCCTTTCTCTGTACGGACGTACCTTTCACAAATTTCTCTTTTGATTTTCTTCCTCTGTTCTTCTTTCTGTTACAATTTCACGTTTTCAGGCTAGTTTTTCATTTCTCGGTGGAAAATTTGAACGGGTTTTCTGTTGTAATTGTTCTGTTTTTGTGATTTGAATTCTGGAATTTAGTCGGATTTTGTATCCAATGCGTGAGAATTACTGAATTAGTCTCACTTTTTGTTGTTGATTTTCTGCCTATTTCGTGATTTTGGGGAAGGATTTGGTTAATTGTTGAAGAATCGGAGTGGTGTGGGTTTGGATTCGTGAGTTTTTTGTAAATGTTCATCGAATTTGAGTTTGGGGGTTTACTGAAGTTTCATCCACTTCGATTGAATAGATATATGTTTTGGTTTATGCTGATCGTTTCATTATCCTCTTTCTCGATGAACTGGTGGATATTTGTGGATGATTTCTGATATTTTGAATGGTTTATATTCTTTTTGTTCTTATTGTTCTTCTTTTTATTTGTTTGTTTTTCAGTAATCAGGGTTGAGCACAGGGGCTCTTTGTTGCTTTTTTTCCCCAATTTGTGTAATGCTGGCTACTGTTCATCAGGTTTGTTGAATTCGTTTATCTGTGAGGTTTTTGATTAAGAATCAATAAGGAAGGGAGGCTTGTTTTTGAGAGTTGGAGGAGTTTTTCGGTTTCGTTATGAAAAGAGGAATGGATTCAGTGATCGAACCGATGAGGAACCATGAGAAGTATTTAGATTCTCAGCTATGGCATGCTTGTGCAGGTGGGCTGATTGAATTGCCTACCATTGACTCGAAGGTAGTGTACTTTCCTCAGGGCCATGCCGAGCATGCCCAGGAGAATGTTGATTTCGGGGTAGCGCAAATTCCTTCGCTCATACCTTGCAGGGTATCTGGCATAAGACATATGGCTGATTCTGAAACTGATGAGGTTTTTGCTAATATAAGGTTGATTCCATTGAGGAACAATGAATTTAGTTTGGATGATGATGATGAGCTTCTAGGCCACAATGATATTAGGACTCGGGAGAAACCAGCCTCGTTTGCTAAGACGTTGACACAATCTGATGCAAACAATGGTGGAGGATTCTCAGTGCCTCGTTACTGTGCTGAGACAATGTTTCCTCGGTTGGATTACTCGGCGGAGCCGCCTGTTCAGACCATTCTTGCTAAGGATGTTCATGGCGAGATTTGGAAGTTTAGGCATATATACAGAGGGACTCCCCGACGGCATCTTTTGACGACGGGATGGAGTAATTTTGTGAATCAGAAGAAACTTGTTGCTGGGGACTCGATCGTTTTCTTGAGGGCGGAAACTGGTGATCTTTTCATCGGAGTTAGGCGAGCCAAGCGAGGAAATGGTTATGGAATTGATTATGAAACTGGTTGGGATCCAACTAATTCAGCCTCTCCACTTGTGGGGTATTCTGATTTTATGAGGGAGAATGAAGGTAGATTGGTAAGAAGAATCTCAAATGGGAATTCGAGTGGGAGAGTGACGGTAGAATCTGTTATCGAAGCTGCAATGCTTGCTGCCAGTGGCAAGCCCTTTGAGATTGTGTACTACCCGTGCACTGGTACTCCTGAGTTCGTCGTTAAGGCGTCTTGTTTACGATCTGCAATGCAGGTTCATTGGTATCCTGCTATGAGATTCAAGATGCCTTTCGAAACCAAAGATTCGTCTCGGATAAGCTGGTTTATGGGAACTATATCTTCTATTCAGGTAGCTGATCCTGTTCGGTGGCCTGATTCTCCGTGGCGAATGCTGCAGGTTTGTTTATGTCAAGTTGTGAGCCTCAATCATGTCCCCTGCCCCCATTTTTTGTATGTGTTGATTGCTTCATCGATTGAGCGAGCTTCCTGAGGCTGATGTTCTTGTTCTAACTTTTGTGATATCTCATTAGGTGGCATGGGACGAGCCAGATTTACTGCAAAATGTGAAGAGTATCAACCCATGGTTGGTTGAAGTGTTAGTAAACATGCCAGCCATCCATGTCTCCCCGTTCTCACCACCGAGGAAGAAGCAGCGGTTTCACCCAGCAGAAACTGCTGTATTTGGTCATCTTCCAATGCCATCGTTTTCGACGAATTTCTTCGAAACAACAAGCTCGTTACAAAGTGTAACAGGTAATAACATTCCTGCAGGCATACAGGGAGCCAGGCATACTCAATTTGGACTCTCTTCACCTGACTTTCAGCTCAGCAAACTAAATTTGGGACCATGTTCTGCTGGTTTTAAGCACCTTGATGAGGCCACTCCTCTTCCTGGCACCCAAGGTGAAAATATGTTCGGAGGCATGAAAAGCCCTGATAATTCTCATTGGCTAACGATGGGAAATAATACCGAAAGCTCGAAAGACAGCAAAGAAACAAAACCAGATCATATCATATTGTTCGGTCAACTCATTCTCCCTAATCAACTGATTTCTAACAGCTGCTCGGCCGATACAACGAATGCATCGTATGAAAACCAAGGGAAATCATCGAATCCTTCCGATGGTTCTGGTTTATCGTCACAACAGAATGGTTCATTGGAGAATTCATCAGAGGGAGGATCTATCTCGTATAATGATCACAAAAAAACCGGTTTTAGCTTGAACACTGGTCAATGCAAAGTGTTCATGGAATTCGAGGACATCGGTCGTACTCTTAATCTATCGCTTCTCAGGTCGTACGACGAATTGTATGGAAAACTTGCCAATATGTTCGGTGTAGGAAGCTCAGAGATGCTGAATTGTGTTCTTTATGAGGATGCACTCGGTACAACGAAGCAAGCGGGAGACGAGCCTTTCAGGTAATCTCGTGTTCATTGCCAATTCAGTGATCTAAAAAAAAGGCTGTTAGATTTCAAATTGTTAGTTCATGTAGTATACTTGTGGTTTTTTGACAGCACGTTTCTGAAGACGGCGAGAAAACTAACCATACTTACAGATTCTCGAAGTAGCGACAACAGTAAAACGTAGGTAAAAACGGATATCGTTTCATTGTACAGTTGAACTAAAACAGTTCATGTTATTGTTAGTTTCTTTTTCTCTCTCTTGGCATTGGAGAAGCCCAAATTTTGATCAGTTACAGCTTGATTGATATGCAGCTGCTCCTTCAACCAGACAATAACTGGGCTTGTTTTTTTTTTAATTGTTCAAAACTCCAGAATTTCTAGTTATGGATTCTCCTTTTTAGTTACCCATATTTACTGTTGAGGGTGAAAAGGGTAGAAAAAGTTTACCAGACAGTAAAAATAATTGGATGAGTCCCTGGGGAAGTGTAAGAGGAGAGACAGAATGAAGCAATCACAGAACATTGAGACAGGACATGACAGGAACCCATGCTGTCAACTGCTCATTATTATCCATAAATAAATAAATAAATAAATAAATAAAACTCAGAGAACAAGTTTGTCGGTGGCCACGAAGTCAACCAACCATGAAGGGCTGAGTGTGTATGTGTGGACAAATGATGGATTTCTTGTGTTTCTTAAGGGAATTGGTATTGGCTTTGGGATTGTAAAGAAACAAAGCAAAACGGAGAAAGAGACTGTTTTTTAAGGTCTAGTGGATATGGTTTGAGAAAACCCAGATCCAAGAAAGAATCCATGGGGCTTCTCAAAGTCAACTTTGTGTGTGACATTGGTTTTAGGTTTGTTTTTTTCTTTTTGTTTCCTTTTTTGTTTCACATGGGGATCTGAGAATCTCTCACCTCTTGGTTTGGTATGGACTAAGTGTTCGAATTAAGTTTGTGCAAGTTTGTGCATTCCCAACCGTTTCTTGCCAAAGTTGTAATATTACTTATAATCTTTTATGAAAGTTTCACACCTAAGTTTAGAATAGAAATCTGTTAGAATGTGGATAAAAATTGAAGGGTTGAGATTATGGTCTATAATAAAAATTTAAGACCTGACTACATGCTTTCTAGATTGAAATTGGAATAGTGTTATTTTGTTGTAAAGTCAACACACAATTTGGTCAACTCTATTCATCGGCATGGGTTCTAACAACTTTTAATTGAGGCATGGTAATCTTCTTGTGAAACTCATACTTTCTTGATATTTGATAATAATGATAAAAATGGAGTGAGAACGAAAGCTTTGACATGAACAAAATGAATGTCTTTAAAAACAAAATTGTGTATAATTGAATATGAAACATGATTATAAAATAGTGTGATAAAGAGAACAAATGGAATTTCTGAAGACTCCAAAACTTTAGAACTAATAAAACATCAAGCCTTAAATCTCATAGGCCCAGCAGCTTCCTTTCTGGTTGTAATACTTCACACTCATTCAAAGTCTAAAAAATTGACAACTTCTAACCAACAAAGCACCAACAGCCAACAGGGTCATTTAAAAAGGCGGTTAAGTTCTAAAGAATGGCAGTTCATCTCTAGGGTTGCTCCATCCAATACCACATGGTTCTTCAAGTAGTGTAAGGAATGTTTCGTTCCCCTCTTCATAGGATCTCAGAATCTACCCTTTGGAGGCCTTGAGAAAGACACACCGCCCAAAACTTAGCTCTAATACCATTTGTAATAGCACAAGCTCAAAGATCACAATATCTACTGGGCGTTGGTTGGTTTGAGCCGTGACAAAAAAGTTTGAGGTCACACGTTGGTTGGAAAGAGGAATAAAACATTCTTTATAAGGGTGTAAAAACCTCTCCTAGTAGAGGCGTCTTAAAACATTGAGTGAAAGCCCAAAGATGACAATATCTGCTAGGACTGATAGTGGGCCTCTTAAATTTGCTAGAAGAAATAATTTCAAAATCAATGAGAACACAAAACTAAATGATGCCATAGAGAATAAAGTTAATTGAAGTTACCACATATAATATCGCCAAATAGGCAGTTTGATTGTGTATTACATGAGGTCCCAAACCGAGTTTTATTCCGAAAGAGTCTTCAATGTATGCTTCTTATGTTACAAATTACACAGGCAGCGCCATACGACAACATTGAGCTACCGAGGTAGCAGTAGCAAAGCCAACAGTATGGCTTTCCATGCCTGCATTAACTGAATAAAAACAGACTACATCAGCTCATTCCTATTCATGGACATGGAAAAGCAAACTTTTTCGAAATGAAAAGCAACCATGCTTAGTATATTAAGATAAGATACATATGATAAAATATCACTACAACGCTAGTATAAGGAATTTAATGCATTCGTCGACTGCAACTTTGTAAAAAATTGATGATTGAGGAACATTTGTATGCCTCTTCTTAACTACAAGAAAACACGCCTGACCACTTTGAGTAGGACTATCTAAACGAGAAGTCCAAAATAAATACTTCATCTCTTCAAGGAATTTTTTTTCCTACGTAGAGTAGTTACAGAGGACCAGTCCTAGCGTCTCACTGATTTGGGGTATTATGATTCTTTCTGAAACAGATTTAAAAATAAAATTTTGACGAGGATTCTCTTGAACACAACTCTATGTGGGAAGCACGAGAAGAGATTTACAAAATAGAAGCTACTACTTTGTATTGATCAGTGATGATGACCTAAGTAGGGTGGAGGAGTATTTAAACGAGATTTAATCCTTATATTCCTAAAATTTCTAACTTTTTTCCTAAAATACCTAAATCATTTTCCTAAATTTATTCCTAAAATCCCTAAATCATTTTCCTATATTCCTAAAATCCTATGATATTTTAACAGATTCCTCTGTTTGTTGCAAACCAGGCACCTCCCAGTTTAGCCATTTAAAAGGTGGGGTTAACCTCAATTCAGAGAGAGGGGGAAAGTAACAAATAGCAAATTCTAACGATAAATAAGTGTTTTGAGGCCTTTGGAAGAACAACCCCCACGCACTTGTGGCTCACAGATGATTGTCATAGGGTTCATATGACAGAAAATTCTTCCTACTTTCTGGCATTTCCTTGATGTGTTTACACAGAAACATGGCTTTAGGCGAAGATGGCATAATTGGATAATAAACTGTATTCATCAATGTTCTTAAATGGCAGACCTCGTGGTAGAGTGTAAAACCTCGAGAGGAAAAGGACAGGATGCTTCATTACTACACTTCTGGTTGGCCTGATAGGTGGATGTTTAGAGAAATTACACAGTTGTTGATAAGAAGTAAGCTTACTAATAGCTACACCATACGGTGAGAAGGTAAATGAATTTCACGGGCAAGATACAAGATTATAATTTTTATGAGGTAAAAATCAGTTCCCCAAAATCCGTTAGACTAATTGATCAGAGCAGATAAATGAATCATCTATTGGATCCAACATGGTTATATGAGACGCAAGGATCGATCCATAATCTTCATCTCTAAAAGACCAGAGATCGTCAAGGAAGAACTAGTGGGATAAGATTAGACGTATTGCAACTAACATTTAGCAACAGTTCCCTTGGTGAACGAGCTAATAATATATATATATATATATATATTTTGAAAAGTAATTCTTGCTTTATCAGATTGATCAGCGATAATATATTTCCTCAAAATTTCATCCCATGAAAAAAATAAACAAAAGATCCAAGGGCGATGAGAAAATGACCTAATTGTAGTAGAGTTCGAGGCCCATGCCGTCATGGATTTCGTAATCCTTCAGAGTAATATGATCCTTGTAGATATTGTACCATTTCTGAATGCGAATCTTCTCAGCTCGAGTCCCAGTCTGGGCCGCCACGAGCTTCTTCAAGTCACCGATGGTGTCGTCTTCGTTGCACTTCACTCTCACCTTCTTCCCCAACCGATCATTCAGCACCACCTCGATCATCTTCTTCTTCTTTCTCCCAAGAAAGCCAAACCCTAGGTCGTCTCAGAGTTCAACAGACCAAAATACATAACGGAGGAGAATTTATCGCTCTTTCGCGTTTTATTATATATTTTCCACCGCCTTCAAAACTCGGGGTCAATGGCGTTGACTCTGACGTCCATTAGTTGACTAGTAGTCGTAGCGACGTCGTATCCATTTCGAGTGAAATTATACTCCCTCTCATTATAATAATTATTAGCAAGTATTAGTGAATTAGTGTTTGATAAAATTTTGATATAAAATTAGTGTAGTATGATAAATGGCTCCGGAGCAGAAAGGTTCCTTTTTTTTTTTAAGGTAACTCGAGAACAGAGTGGAAACGGAATTGGCTACGAACCGACGACCTAAATGAGAAGTAGTACGCTCATAAGCTATATTTTCAATTGACAAAGAGAAAATCATGCATTACACTATTACGATGCATGGATTCAATAACGTTTGAAGCTCGTGTGAAGGTAAAGATTCAAACCTTTAATATAATTGGAAACTGATCTATCACGAACCTCTGTGGGGGTAAGGCTGACACGTACGACGCCTTCGTTCAAACTTGGCCCGAGACTTACTAGACAAACCATGAGCTTTCTAGAGGGCATTCACTTCAAACGTGGCCATCTTAGCCTCAACTATTGTATTCTTTGAGTCACACGACTTAGTGCACCCATCGGAGATCGACTCGCAAGAATTCCACAAGCAGGAAGACCATGGATAAATTCCACATAATGATCTTAACGACATAAACAAACATTCATCATCATGTTACAAGGGATCAATGGGCACCATTATATAATACAATAGAGAATGTGAAGGTAACCCAAATGTGTTCTCCTTCTATCATCATATACAAGCTGTTCTAAAAGCTCCTACCTTTTCATCTTCAAATAATGCTTGAAATGTCCTGTGGAGTACTAAATTGAGGCTGGGTTCTTCAGAAGCTTCATCATGAAACTGTACTTGATGTCTGGAGAGGTCTTCGGCCGAGGCCAGTTCGCTCCTTCCGGTACCTTGATGGTTTTGAAACCCTGACCTCTATACAGCTTCGTAGCCCCGGGATTGCTCGTATCACAATGCAACGCAATTGCTCGGCACCCCCAGTTTCTGGCTTCGGATTCTGCTTTGAGTATTAGCTTTTTCGCTATTCCCTTGCGTCGAAACCGCTCACGAACTGCAACATTTGATATGTATGCAATCCCCGTCCTGTCATAGAAGACGCAAAACGAGCAAACCGTAGAATGATCAAAACTACATCATTCGATTGCGGGCGAATCAGAGTGCAGTTGAGAACTTTAGGATGAAGCTCAAATTTTCAGACGAAGTAACTTGAGATCAGCTGTTTATTTAGAGGAAGGTTATCATTGAGCTGCAATGATATTGATAAATGGTTTGTTGCCAAATACAGTGTAAATACAGATAGGATATGATCAATCTTAACTTCTAAATCAAGAGCAATGGATCCTGGTTACACATTAAATCTAACTTTTCTGCTCGCTTGGAGAAGCTAGATGTGTCTTAAGTTGAAGGGTATTGTTCTTGTTCCTCTCCTAGCCCAGCGATCAAATACAAAGAAACTTCGGGATTCGATATTTTAGCCCGACAAATATGATTAACTAAACAGACAACCTCTGAGATCCCACATCGGTTGGAGAGAGGAACGAAACAGTCCTTACAAGGATGTGGAATCCTCTCCCTAGCAGACGCGTTTTAAGAACCGTGAAGCTGATGACGATACGTAATGGGCCAAAACGGACAATATCTGTTAGCGGTAAACTTTGTCTGTTATAAATGGTATTAAAGTTAGACACCGGGCTGGGCTCCCAAGGGGGGTGGATTGTAAGATTCCACATCGATTGAAGAGAGGAACGAAACATTCCTTATAAGGGTGTTGAAACCTATCCCTAGTGGACGCGTTTTAAAAACCGTGAGGCTGACGACGATATGTAACGAGCCAAAATGAACAATATCGGCTACCAGTGAACTTGGTTTATTACAAATGGTATTAGAGCCAGACACTGTGCAGTGTGCGACACTGGACTCCCAAGGGGGGTGGATTGTGAGATCCCACACCGGCTGGAGAGAAGAACGAAATATTCATCATAAGGGTGTGGAAATCTTTCCCTAGTAGACGCGTTTTAAAAATCATGAAGCTGACGACGATACGTAATGGGCCAAAATAGGCAATATCTGCTAGCGGGTGAACTTGGTCTGTTACAAATGGTATCAGAGCCAGACACCGGATGATGTGCCAGCGAGAACGCTGGGCTCCCAAGGGGGTAGATTGTGAGATCCCACATCGGTTGGAGAGGGTAACAAAACATTCCTTATAAGTGTGTGGAAACCTCTCCCTAGTAGAGGCATTTTAAAAAACCGTGAGGCTGACGACCAAACATAACGGGCAAAACGGACACTATTCTTAGAATTGCAGACTCAAGTATATCATTAGGCTGAAAACTGGATTGCTTCAAAACAACAATAGTTCTATTACTCAAGATGAACCAAGGTAATGTACATTACTACTCACCTTCTTTGTCGCATCGGTCCTTTTCTCGGTAGAAAATCGGCAACAGTATCGAGGGTCAATATTCCAGTAACATAGCCCTTGTTGAGGCTAACTTTTCCATCAAATCCTCCAATCTTGAAATCATCAGGTCCAATAAGGAATGCATCATCTTGTGAGCCACCAATGACAGCAACCAAACAAACCCTCCTGCAACCATTTGGCACAGACAATCTATATAACATAGCCACAAGCCTATCAACCCTCAACACAAAATCCAATGGGAATGAGTATTCTGGGAAGAAGGAGCTGCAATGAGTCTCTGCAACTTCCCAACAGTCCTCTATTCTTGCCTCTCTAACTGTTATCTCAGGAGTTACTGTTGGAAATAAATCAAAAACTTGACTGGCTTTACAAACTCTTGCACCTGGAGGGAAATGCCAGAACAATCAAACACAAACTCCATAGCCTAACTAAATCATCAATTCATTGCACAATGAAGCTCTACATTTTCATTATAGCACCCTTGAGTTTTTAAGCAAGATAACAACATTCTATGGAAGCTACGTTCTCTTATTTCCATTAATCTACACAGAAAACAACCAAATATGCATTTTCTCAGCCCCAAAGTTCATAATTCCATAAAACCGACAATTAAACAACAATAATACTCACAAGAGATGAAAATTTGACCAAACTAATAAAACACAGATCCAGAAAACTCCCAACAGTAGCTACAAAATCTGGAATCAGTAGAGAAAGGTAAATTAACGAACAACAGAAGAAGATCAAAGGAACCCCATGAAAAGGAGATACACACCTGGGCATGATTTGGGGGGCGAAAGAAGAGAGACGCCATGAGCGAAAGCAGATTTGTTCGAATTGAAGTTTCTGAAAGCAGAGGGAGTTAGGGAAGTGTAAGAAGAAGAAGAAGAAGAAGTCGAAGAGACTGTGAGTCCCAAGGATATGGCCCGCATTTCCCAAGCGATCCAATTCCTTCTTCGATTTTCTGTGTTCCTCAGAAATTGGGCTTGTTCGATGAACAGTATAAAGGATTTCCAGGCGATGGAGCCGCCACACGTGCGATCAACGTCTGAAGAAACGGTGGTGATCGCCTGAGAATTGTTCGTCCCTATGTGAATTGATGATGTGAGGTCCTCTCTCACGCACGTCTCAAGTAAAGGAAGCTCACTCACCTCCAAAATTGACGACTCTCTTTGGTCAATCAAATGAAGCAGAGATAAAAAGAACAAGAAAAGGGTCCGGTCGAACCGGATAGCACGCGTAACATGAACCAGGACTACTTGGTGTGTGGTGTGTTAGGTGAATCCAATCCAGTTTTGAAGTTCTTTCATTGGAGGGTTCAGGACGAGCTTAAAACGTTGAGTCATTATTATTAGTCATCATTTTGTATTTACCTAGAGGTGGTTGGAAAGAACTTTCCGTAGAGGTAATTGAGAAGAACTGGAGTCATTGTAAGAGAGACTTTATAAAGTGAGAGATATACTTGTAAACACTTCGATCATAGTAATTGGCTTTTATCGGTGGATGTAAGGAACTTTTTTCTCTCCGAACCACTAAATTTTTGTGTATCTTTATTAATTTTTGTTTGTAGATGCACGGGTATAATTGATCTTACTTCCACTTTCACTACATCAATTGGGTATCAGAATATTTTTACTTGTGGCATTTGGGCGAAATTATGATAACAAACTGCAAAGAGAGGCCGACCATGTAGTTAACTAAAAGCAAGATCATAAAATCAAGAAAGTTCTTATTTATGATACAAGGAATTCAGATGTAGCCTTCTGAATAATCCATAAGGATGGAATACCTGTATTCTCGACCATGAGTTCGTTCACGTTACATCTCATCATGATCATGGTGGTCGGGAAAGATAAGATCCATAAGATTTTTCTTCTTACAACCCCAACGACATCTCATGGAACAAATGGAGTTGAAGATGGACAATCTTGTGGAATGCAGAGATATTATGTTTGAGGTTGAAGGAGATTTGGAGAGCACAATTGCATAACCATCATCCATGTAGTCAGTTCCATCAGGGAATAGCTGCCACACCAGGCTTCCTCCTCCACTCCCTCCTTTCTTTGTTGAACCCAACAAGGTCTTGTATACCAAGTTAAGAACTGCGTCCCTGAAAGTCGAGTTGTATCCGGGATCCTTCGATGATACCCCGAACTCGGCGAAGATGACTGGCATGCCGAGATACTTCTCTGCATCCTCTATGTGAGCGTCCATCCATGATTTGGTAAATTGGAGATGGGTATCCGAGACGGATGGAGAAACCCTTTAACAACGAGTTCGTGTTAGAATCATCCAAGTTATATCATAAAAAAGGAACAGATTCTACTTCAGCTGAATAATTCAGCTGCTAATGTTTTGGCATCCTACCATGTATCTGCATAAATGTGAACTGAAGCAAAATCAACACCAAGAACTTTATGGTTTCTGATGAAATCAGTTCCAACTTGTTGAGCATACGTATTAGGATTCAACTGAACTCTATTGGGTGTGGATGGGCCATAAAATCCCTCCAGACCAACCTCCACTAAATGCTTTGGATCCATGCTCTTCACAAACACAGCCATTTCTTGAATCCATCCCTGCAAAACCCCATTCATTAACTTCAAATAACAATATTGGTCGCTTACTTATTTGCACGTCTCGTTCTTCTGACGGTGCTCAATGTTGAGGATTGTTGGGAGGGAGTCCCACATTCGCTAATTTAGGGAATGATCATAAGTTTATAAGAAAATACATCTCCATTGGTATAAGGCTTTCTGGGGAAGCCCAAAGCAAAGCCGTGAGAACTTATACTCAAAGTGGATAATATCATACCATTGTAGAGATATGTGATTTCTAACACAAAGTGCCTGATAAAGAAAGCAAACCTGTAGTTTGTCGCCAGAAGGATCCGATGTACAACGAGGTTCATTCATTAGTTCCCAGGCAAAAATGGCCGGATCTTCCTTGTACATTACATTTGTGTATGTGTTCACTCTATTAAGCACCGTCTATATCATTCAGATGGAAGTCAAGAAATATCATTTTCACGCAAACAATAGAAGAACAGTAACATATCTTGGGAACTCACCGCAACATGAGCCTTATAGTAGCTTCTGAGAGTTGGATCAGAGAAGAAATCATCATCAGATGTCAAATTGAGGCCAGCAGCTCTTCCCCATTTCACATATTGTGCTTTGCCACCGTATGCTTCCCAATTGTTTGCTAATGATAATATCAGCCTTATCTTATACTTCTTTGCTTCACTAATCACAAAATCTAATGCCTGAACTACATGTAAAAAGGTAGTTACATTCGGACAAAATAGAACTCGTGATGATAACGCTTAATCATTTTGTTGAAGGCATAAACATGAGTGATTACGTTGAAACACGATTTTCTATGTTTTATTTCGAAATGAACTGTAAGAACAATGATCGGATTGTTTGCAGATATTAACTCTTGTTCTTAGCCGAGTACCTTGAAGACTTCTTCATCATACACAGATGGAGATTTTTGAAGAGCTCTCCACTGGCCATCATTGAAGGCCCAAGTCCTGCAAACTGTAAATCCCACAGAAGCAGCTTGTTTAAACACTTCTGTGACCTTTCCTCTTGTGGATTGATCCGCTGCAAATACCATCAACCAGTAAGTGTTGAAACCATTAACATAGAACGGTTGGCCATCTACTACAAACTGGTTCTGTCTTGTCTCCACCATACTCCAAGCATCATTCTTCTTTTGAACCACTCCATCAAACCTATATTGATGAACCCAAGAAAAAAAAGTGCATTTAAACCTTATTTTGATCATGAACTTCCATATAAAATCATGTCTAGTTCTATGGAACAAAAATCTACGTTCAAATTGAATGACAGTCATGTTTGGAAGTGAGAAGTGATATTGAAATGGTAAAAAATCACGTTTGTCATGTTCGAAACACTTCGAAATATGCTTTTAATCCTTCGAAAATCAAATTTGATTGTACAAAAATTGTGTTTTAAAGTATAAAACCAAATACTAAATAGATTTTAAAGATAAGAATCATGTTTCGGAGTGATTTCGAACCTAACCAAAGTGATTTTAATCACTTTCAAACAAACATGTCCTACCTGTAGGCTCTTTAAATGAGAAAATGATACAACAATAAAGGCGAAGAGACATAAATAATACTTACCCGTTACTCATGTCCGAGTACGTGAAATGATTCTCAGGGACATCCTCAACTGAGAAATCAAATTGCTGATCATCTCCATCCCCATCACCTTCAACAAAGGATGAAACTGTATGCTCAACAGAGAAGATAAAAACTGCTATCAGACCAATGAGTATTAAACTGAGCAATGTGGAATGAGCAGCCATTGTTTTGACTTCTCACTGAGAAATCCAGCACACGTTTGGACCACCATTTTCGAGCTATATATACAAATCCTGCAGCTAAAGCAACATTAGACGCAACAAAGAATTTCAGGAAAGAGTTAAACAGCTCCAAATCTTTGAAGGCAAGGCAAATTAGATAATGATATCCACCTTTCTTTGAATCTTTCAGTTTCAGAGATGGCAATGGCCGTAAGAGTAAAGATGCAAATGCTATCACTTCTAAGCTACGTCCCTCTACGAAACTGGAAGAACATACACAGAGGAAAGGAGTTAAAAGGTTACCGCCATTGATTGTTTATTTGAAGCATGAAAAGGAATTTGTCGTTACTGTAGTTAGTGGTATGAACAGTGAAGGCATTGTTCTGAGTGGGGACAGAACGACGAAGTGGTACGGAGCAGAGCGATGAGTCGGAGCCGCTGAAAATCACTGCTCCGCTTCTCTTCTTTTTCTTCAATTTCCTCTCATTAAATGCAGCTCTCTTCGCTCCCCAACTTCGCACCAGATTCATTCATCCATTCGAAATCACTCCTAGGGTTAAGATTTCGATTTCTCTGTCTTTAAGGCGAAGAATGCAGCGGAGCGCGGTTCGTTATCGAGGAAGAACTACCACGATCCGCCAACGGCGCCGCTCATCGACGGCGTGGAGATTACGAAGTGGACGTTTTACAGAGCTCTGATTGCGGAGTTCAAGCCACTCTGCTTTTCCTCTACGTCATTGTGTTGACGGTGATTGCAATTCGATCGTGTCGGCAACATGGATGTGGATCCAGGAGGTGGAGTCTGGATTCTCGGCGTTGCTTGGGCATTTGGAGGAATGATCTACGGTATTGTTTACTATACTGCTGGAATTTCAGGTTCTTCTTCCTCTCTCTTCGGCTTAAAGTTGAAGCTTGAACTTCTTTTTCTCATTTTGTTAGAGACGTGAGCATTTTCTCCGACAAAACGAGATTTTTCTTTCATTTTCTCGGCTTCCAAGCATACAAATTTCCACGCTGCATCTATGATATCATCTTGCACTTTGTTTTGGCGCGTAAACCTCAAAACCGTTGTAAACCTTGCTCAGCGGAGTTGGGATCGTTAAGGCCATCCACAAGTACCGCCGGCGGCCGCGTCCATGGGCCCACGGATAACTACACCTTAGGCATCAGGCTACCCGCCGAGATCGTCGGCACGTTTACGTTGGCGTACACCACCTTCTCGGCCACCGATCCTAAATGAAACTAGGATCTCAAGAAAATGAATAGTTTAGTCTCCAAACTTTAAAATTTATGTTCAATAGAATAAGTATCTAGACTATATCTCTAAACTTTTAATTTTCGTTGAAATTGACGGATCTAAGTATGCAAAAATTAAAAGAAAAAAAATTAATCTCATTAGACGCACAATTCAATGTCATGTCTAACAAATTTATTAATTTAAAAAGACGTTGAACATGTTCGAAATCTATTACTCTCAAAATTGAGAGTATTGCATTTCATAAGAACATAGTTCATAGCTCAGTCTTTAGGTTCGGTACTCTGTCCCTCGAGTTTGATATTGAAAATTTACAGAGTTCTACCTTGGACTCATTGGATTTGAGAATCATCCAACTTTTTGTTTGTTTACAAGGATAATTGTATTCCTACCAGCAAAATCATTCCTCTAACCTACATGTCATAGTGATCTTCCATGAGCTTAAACCAGCCACAAAACATGATCTTTTCCTTTATTTTCCACTTTACCAAGATAGCAAAAACAAATTCTTTTAAAGTTCTATTAAGTTTCTTTTTATTGAAAGAATAACAAAGTGGGTTCATGTTGATGAGCACCAACTCCCAACCCGAGGCCTATATTTTAGACCAGCATGAACAATTTAGCTTTCTGGGACGGTTCTTATTTTTATTCCCATCTTTCCGTTTTCTTGTTGAGCTATGTTTATATTGGTAGAAAGAAGAATAAAATGACGTTAAAACTATAAATTAAACTAGGAGCTAAAAAAAAAAAGTTCCTATTTATTTATATATTGGGTTATATTCCCTTTATTTGAACTATATCTTTGAAGTTTCTACATCTTCCTGTTTCTTTTCACCTTGAAGGAAACTATAATCATCCACCTTCTTTTTCCCATGTTTGTGAAGTTTGTTCTATTTCTGGGGATAAGTTAAAAGAAAGAAAAAGAAAAAGAAAAAGGAAAAAAAAAACCATACTCAGGAAGCACAAATTCATTCACAAGAGACAAAATAAAGAAACAAAAGTGAAAAAATCATCTAATATACCACAAAAGCTAAATGATTAGTTCAAACTTAAAAGCAAAGATGACCAATTGGCTCACTCTTTATTAAGCCTTCCACTCAACAATGAACTAAAAATTCCAAACTCTTCTGACATGGCTAGTCCCCACACCAACCTTCTTTTCCTTTCTTGTTTATTCTAATTATTCTTTACCTATTTTTCCTCACATAGCCCAAAATTTTCAACTACAACCAACCATGAACCTGTTTCACCTGAGTTTAGAATTCTAAGGCACGCCTACATCATTGCATTAAATCATATTCCTTCTACTCACAATATTTTTCCTTTTGCTTTCTCGGTCAGGCCTTAGGACACAGACATTGTATTAAAGTAGCCCTACAAGAGGCGTTATGGCTAAGTAGTTCAGTGAGTTTCAAACTTTTTCAGCTCTATATAAACTCATCTTCTTTAATGAAGTGTAAAGAGTAAGTGAACAAGTGCGTTACTTACAGGATTTGGAGGAAAAATGGCACCCATCACCACCATCTTGTCTTTTCTCTTCTCTTCTCTGTCCTTTTTATCTGATCCTTGGCCTGAAGCATTCTATGGTCACCCTCTTGATAACTCGGCGCAGTTGTTGCTCCTCGGGTATGCTACTTTCCACACACAGCCTGCAGTCGTGTTATAATTTGCATTGACAAGATTGTCTGCGAATCAAACTGTTCGTCTTCTTCAAAGTTTGCAGCAAGATCTGCTCAAGTTCAGTCTGCAATCTGCATGACATCTTTAACCTTTTCTGTTGAAGATGAAGACTGTTGCAGATATGTAATAGTATTTTCATAGATTTCTTCTGTTAAGAATTTGTGACGAAAAACTTTCAACTGCAATGGTGATTGATGTACTGAAGTTCAAAACCTAGTTAAAAAAACAAAAATCATTTGCTCCCCCAGAATTGGACCATGTTACCAAAACTTCCAACATTAGAGATGCAAGGATTGTAATGTAAATATAATCAGCTCAAACATTTAGAGTTCTATTTTTATGATATAGTCCGTTTTTCCTGGTATGAAATTTGCTTCCAGGTGTTGATCAAAAGCATGCAATCAAGATGTTTTTGTTTTTCAATTTATTTAAGCATATATGTTGCTTGATCTAATTTTGTCCAGCAACGGGAAAAGAAAAGGACAAAGTAAGGGAAATAGTTAACAAGAAGAGCATTCTAATTTATGATGAGAGCCATTCAACGAATTTGATGTCTTGGGGGTAATTAATTGCTCAAAAAATTGGTGACTGTAACTTTCACACATTATGTAAGGAATGTGATACTCATAACGACCCCTTTTACACACTGCTTTACTTGGGCCATCTCTCATTATCCTCCCTCTCTCAGTTTTGGTAGAGCCCAAGCAGTTCTAATTCACCAGAGTAACAGAATAGCGTTGTCTAACAACTATAGACTGCATATTTAGAACATTTATGTAACTTTCGGTTCAATTAATTTTGGTCAAGTTCCAGCATACTCTTTAACTACTATCGAATAACAAACACAAAAGAGAACAAGGTCCCACCCTGGTCTAACAGACGACAATGTGCTTTGGAAACTGTCCACAAAAACTTGAGAAAAAATAAAACCAATTCAGATTTTCAAGAAATGCCTTTACCTTGCTAGGATAGAATTTGCTCCACCATTACACCACAAACAAATAAACCTCCCCCCAAGAAGTGCAGGCCGCTCTCTCAATGATGCCTAGGAGTTGGTGTCCTCAGATTCCCTAGCCCAAGCAGTGAGAGGAAGGAGAAGATGGGGAAAGGGAGAAGGAAGAAAGAATATTTTTTAATTAAAAATAAATAAATAATATATTTTTCTAATAAAAAATAAATGTTAGTAATTATTGGAACACTTAATGGAAGGATCAAAATGGAACTAAATGCAAACTTCAAGAAAAATTGTTGAGTTTGAAAACTCAGTAACTCAAATGCAAACTAACACAATCCTTAAAGACTAAGCGAAATTTTTCCAAAAAAGATATTAGTCATAGAGGCATATTAAATATGACATTGAAAGTTTAAATACCCATCAACCATATTTTTTACTATCAAAGACCACTTTTTATATTTCTCGTCAAAAATTAAAATTTAAAAGTTACCGAACACTTCAAAGCATAGATTGATTCACAAAAGACCAGATCAAAGATAAAAGAGTGACAAAGCACCTTATAATCTAGAAGTGGAAAATGCATAATTTAGGCGTTGAAACAAAGATTACCTTCAACTGGCTCATCATTCCACAGCCAGCTTCCGACATTTGATTATTTATTTAGCCTTTCACTCAACAACGAACTACAGGAGTCCAAATATCTATGACATGACTGGTCCCATTCCCAGTCTTCTTTTTTCCTTTCTTGTTTGTTGTGATTCTTCTTTTTCTTTTCTCCCCAATAATCCCAAAATATTCAAGTACAAGCAACCACGACTATGCTTCACTTGAGTTTGGAATTCTAAGACACGCCTGCATAAGTGCATTATATCAAACTCCTTCCAAAAACAAAATATTATTCCTCCTGCTTTCTGGGTCAGGGCATAGGACCCAGAGGTTTAGTGAAAGTAACTCATCATTAAGGTTTATAACTAGATATTTCAGTGAGCTTCAATCTCCTTCAGCTCTATATAAACTCGCCCACTCCAGAGAAGTATAAAGAATAAGTGAAACAACTGCATTAACTTGCAGCACTTTGGAAAAAAAATGGCACCCATCTCCACTATCTTGTCTTTTCTCAGCTCTTCTTTCTCCATTTTTTCTGATCCTTGGCCTGAGGCATTCTATGGCCTTCCCCATGACAACTCCCTGCAAATTTCGGTCCTTGGGTTCACAATTTATGAGACGGATACTGCATACATGTCATAATGTGTATCTTAAGATTGTTTCCAAACCAAGCAGCTCGCAGCAAGTTCCGCTCAAGCTCGATCTGTTGAAGATGGAGACTCATGCACATAAATAAGTAATATGGTATTTCCATAGTTTTCCTCTGTTAAGAATTTGTAAAGAAACTTTGATATGTATTAGTCTATTGCAGTACTGAAGATCAAAACCTCGGAAAAAACAAATCAATTTGTTTGACATAAACTTTCAAGGTTCTAATTCTAGGATATAGCCCGTTTTTCCTTGCACGAAATTTTTTTCCAGGGGTTCAGCAAATTCATGTAACTAACGCAGGAAAGGAGGAAAAAAACTGAAAAACAAAAGGATAAAAGTAAGGGAAATGGTTAACAATAAGAGCATTCTAATTTAAGGTGAGAGACCATTGAACAGATTGTATGCTTGGGGGAAATAATTGACCAAAAAAACGATCAAGGAAAGGAATTTGATATTCATAATTACTCCATCCTCCAGACTATAAAAGGAGACTTCTGTTTGTTCTTAGAGATTAATCATTTTTGTCTACATTTGTATTAAATACATACGGCGAATTTGGGAGATTAATTTCAAAACAGTTTTCTACTTTTGTCTATAAAACTGATTCTAAGTCCAATATCAATAGAAGATTATGCTACATTTGAAACCATTATGTACAGCATTAAATCTTAAAATCAATAACAAGTTCTGTTCTCCACGAAAAAAGATATGTTCTAAACATTCAATTGAATTTTTGTCCCAAAAATTAGAACTAATTCGATGTGAGAGGCAATAATACTGGTTCACATCCTGAAGTTACCTTTCACACAAGCAGTAAGCCATTGGTTGACTTGATCTATGTCTAGCAGAGAAAAAACCAAATAGAAAAGGAAGCCTGTAAGTGGAGATGGAAGATTGAACGATTAGAGAAGGATCTCACCCGACTTGGAAACACAGGAAACTATAGAAGTGTATCCCAAGAAAACATGGGCAACAGTGGCTAGGGTTCCGAAGTCCCCCAGATACTCCTGCGCCATATTTCTGACTGAAATCGCCTCTATCCCCGTCTCTCCTCTTCGTTCTTCTTCTCCGTTTTCCCGCTTCTTTGCTCGTAGCAGAAAAACCAACGGTTGTATCTGAAACGCCATGTAAAAGCAAGCGAAACTCAAGATTCGCCCAAGCAAGACGTGAAAACACGTAAAATTGATGGATTAAATAGAGGGAAAAAAAGCATAATCAAATCGAAGCACGTTACCTCTTTGATCTTTCGCCCATTCGGCAATTTTGTAGAGAGGTCCTTGAACATGGCGACGGCAATGGCGACCGTGAAAGAAGTCGCAGGCATCGACCGTGGTTGTAGGGCACAATAAAGTGGAAGAGATGATGATGGAGTGTAAATTCATGGAAGCCAAATGCAGAGGCGAAGAAGGTGACTCTACAAGTTTCCAAATATGTTGGAGAAGATTCCATGGGTCCAATTTCAAAAGATTCTAAATTCCAGAATCGGGAGATATTCCTTCAGAACCAAACATAGGCCTTCGGGCCATTTATTGGGCTGAATCTAACCATGGGCCTTTATCATGACCTACATTATATTGCCTAACCCAACTCTTTAATTGGGCCCAAAATGTAAGGCCCGACCCGGCCCACTAATTCTTACCCACTCTCCCTCTATTTTTTTTTTTTTTATATCTTTTAATTCAAAAACTAATATTCATATTTCATTGTATCCTTTTTCAATTAAAAAAATAATTTTTTTTATATAGTGTAATATTATAAAAATAAAAAATTAAATGATTATAATGAGACTGAGTTATTATATATTAATTTATATAATTATTTTTTAAGTCAATAAAAGATGATTTTGGACATGGATTTGACTTGCCTAATCTTGAAATAATTAATCAAAATCCCATCATCAAAATAAGTAACTTCTAAGTGACATTTTCAAAACCAAACTCATTATTAATTTCATTTCAATTTAAAACATGATTAAACTTGGTTTTCGCCACTAAAAGGGTATGATAATCACATTGCTTAATTTCATTTAACTTCATCTTCACGTGTCTCGTATGTTTGTTGTACCCATTGTAAATTTGAAGTCAACGAGAGCGAATAGTGCAACAAATAGGTGTTTGAGTCCGATCATAAAGCTTGCCTTCAGCCTTTTACTATTTCCTTAAGAAGTGAGGGTAATAGAGAAACAAACTAGGCGTGACGTCCCACATTCGCTGGGGAGAAAAACAAACCACCATATAAAAGTGTGGAAACCTTCCCCTAGCAGACGCGTTTTAAAGCCTTGAGGGAAAGTCCAAAGAGGACAATGTCTGGTAGGGGTCAATCTGGACTATTACAAATGGTATCAAAGCTAGACATCGGACCATGTGTCAACCTTATTGTTGTTCCCCGAAGGGAGGGTAGACACGAGGTGGTGTTCCAGTAAGGATGCTGACCCCAAAAAATGGTAGATTTGAGGACGGTCCCACATCGATTTGAAGGAAGGAAAGAGTGTCAGCTGGACGCTCGACCCCAAAGGGAATGGATTGGATGCTCGGTCCCAAAGGAGATGGATTGTAATGTCCCATATTGGTTGAAGAGAAAATCATCATTTATAAATCTCAACATCATTTATAAAACCGAAAATTTAAGAATTTGTGAGCATTTTAATAAATATAAATAAATATAAGGATTAAATTGGTAATTTAATCGAAATAAATAAATAATAAATGAGATAATGGAGGGTAGTTTCGTCATAAGGAAATTTTGATTTTTTTTTTTGTTTCTTTCCTCGATTAATACGAGACGAAAGTTAGCGTAGTGCCATCCACTCTATTGTTCTTCGCCGACGGTGTTTTCGTAGTTGATAAAACCGGACCCACACGTAACGGCAAGAAAGAACCGCGCCAAAGAACTAAAAATAACGGACTTTTTGGTAATTTTACCGTCCATCACGGACAAACAAGAAACCACTAATTTAGACCGTCCGATCACGACTCAGACATGACAGCAGACGTCGATGATCATTCGGTCGTGCATAATGGCAAAAAAAAAAAAAAAAAAAAAAAAAAAAAAAAAAAAAAAAAAAAAAAAAAAAAAAAAAA